TGCCATCTGCCGCCTGTCAGCCTCTCTCCGCGGGGGGGGGGGGGGGGGGGGGACTATGTTGTCCCCTGCTTGGCCCCATCTCATCTGCCCTGGGGCGCCCGCCCTCCTGCCCACAGGCCACAACACCCAGGATCTGTTAAAATGCAGCTAAAGGGCAGGCTTGAGGCCCCGGCCCAGCCTGGAGCGCCATGGTTTGCCGCAGGGAAAGGGATGGCTGGGGGCCCAGAGATCGGTCCCCCGCACTGGCCTGCATGGCTTTCCCAGGGCTGTGCCCCCACCCCCCACCCCTCCTTTCCACACTCCCAGGTGAGACAGCTTTGGCCGGCTTCCCAACTCCTGGCTTCAAGGCCCTTGGAACATGGAAACCTTCTAATACTTACACCTTTGTGGCTGGGCAAGTCCACCCGGTGATTTAGGTGTCTGCGCCTGAGGGGTGCACGTGCAGTGGCGGGGTCGGGGGTGCGGGGACCCTGTGAAAATAGCTGGTGTAAACCCCTCTCTGGGATTGTTACCGGGAGCCAAGCGGAGTACAGAACAGAGCAAGTAACGTGTGATAGTTTTGTCCGAAGAGGGGGTAGCCCTCTGCCCACATTTGCTTTTGAGCCCTTAAAGGGACTATCAGAGGACACCCCGAAACGCAGATCACAGACCTCCTGAGGGGCGGGGGCAAGGAGAGAGCTCTTACCCCTGTGACCATGAGCTGTTCTTAAATTCTCAGCTACGCGGATGGGCTGTCGAAAAATAAAGCTTTAACACACCAAACTGAAAAGGAAGAAAACAAATCTTTGTTTGCCGTTAGTTTCTAAAGCCCTTTTCCATGTCAGACCCTGGGCCGGGCACTGACGTTTCTCCTCCATCCCTCCGGGAGCCGGGCAGGGACGGACGGACGCGGGGCGAGCGGCGGCCCCCCACAGCCTCCCTCGCCCCCTCCCGCATCGCCTCAGAAGACCTGCCTCTGATCTAAGCAGCCGGGGGACCAGGCGGTGGGGCTTTGAAACCCAGGGGACCCGAGTCTGGCCCCTGCTGCCTGCACAGTGTCGTGTCGTGAGCACACACGTCTGTGTCCATGAGCCGGTGCCCTTAAGCCCCGTGGGAGGAGAGGGAGGCTCTGAGGGAGGGTGGCTCGCCCGGGGCGGTTCGGGAAAGGCAGGGACTGTGTGCCTCCGAGCAGAGGAGGCAGCCAGCGGGGTGCCCAGCCGGCCTGACCTTGCTCTGAGCCACAGGGGCCTGCGGGTGCGTGATGCCTACGAACCGGTGAACCTCAGTTCCTGGGCAGGCTTCGGACAGCATGGCGTGACCTGGACGCCCTCACCACGCCTGGCATCTCCAGGGCGCTCAAGATGCCGGAGGGCCGGTGAGGGCACAGGATGTGTGGTGCGCGCAGCCCTGCCCTGCTGCTCGTGTTTCAGTGCGAAATCCCGTGTGGCTTGTGGCAGGCCTGGGGTGGCACGGGGAGGGCCCCTCGCTCCTGGCGGCGCCCCCAGGAAGACCGCTGCGCCCCGAGGTCTGACCAGTTGGACCCCAGAGGAGGACAGGAAGCAGGACCCTGGGCGGGGGCACCGTGGGTGCGGACGTGTTGGGATCCCTGCTGACCTGCCTGCCTTCTGGACCACAGAGTCCATGGTCCCGGGGCCCCTGGGAGCAGAGCCTCGGGTGGGTGAGCCCTGGACGAGCAGCAGCCCCTGCTGTGGCTCTTCTGGGCCAGGGGACACGGGACCAGGCCCCTCGCGTGTGGCCCCTGATGCGGCCACTGGGGTTGGCAGAGGCCGCACCTCCTGCGGCCCTTCTGTGCCCAGCCCGGCACAGCCGTCAGTCCCGTTGGGGGGGGAGGGGCTGTGCTGCAGCCCTGAGGGGACCCCGAGGGTCGCCCCGGGGGCGTTGGCACAGCGAGCCTGCTTCCCACCACACCCCAAGCTGGGGTTAGCCACCGGGTTCTAAACCTCAGATGACAACCTAACATACGTGGCAGTCCCCTAATTGTTTGCAAGTCACCGTGACCATGGGGCCAAGCTTTTTTTTTTTCCCTTTTAAGCTTAACTGTTGACTCTGTGGCAGGAAAAAGGAGTCAGTCATCTGAGGTACATTTTTTCAAGTTCACGTGAAAGCTATGACTGCCCCGTCCCAGCTAATCCTCACCCCTGGAGAAAGCAGCCACATACCGGTCACAGAGTGTGCACTCGCGTCCATCTGGCTTCCCTCGCCGCGGCCCCGCGGCCCTGGAGGTACAGGTGAAGCGCCCGCAGTGACGGTCACCCCAGCCTGGGAGCACGGCCGCCGCGGGTCTCTGAGAGCAGAGCCTTTGTGCCCGTGGCACCTGGAACTCAGGTACAAGCTCGGTAAACTGACCCGAGGTACGGGAACACGTAGCGTGCGCACGCAGCCGCCTGCGGACCGGGGCCCGTGGCCTTGGACGCTCTAGTTCCGTCCTGCGGCCCCAGCGACGACGCCCCACGTCCGCCCAGCAGCGGCGTGTGCAGAAACGGGCTGGGGGGCTTGGAGACTGGACTCCACCGGGCGGGGCAGAACTGCCTTCTGCTTTTCTGTTTCATCCTCCAACCTTGGCCTGGTCGGGATTTAAATATTAACAGACTGTTGACACGGGAGATGCAACCTCCGTTTTGGGCTGTCTGGTAACACGATCTGCCCTCCTATTCATCGTATTCATCGCTTCTGGCTTTGTTCCTCTGTCTTCTCTCAGAAACAGTCCCCCTTCTGGAGCTTGGGGGAGGCTGGGCTGCCCCAGCAGGAACCTAGTGACCTGTAACCTGGTTCAGATCCCTGCGTTTGCCATTTCCCCTCCTCTGGAGCCCCCCTTTTTTTTTTTAATACTCATTTTGAGAGAGAGAAAGTATGAATGGGGGAGAGGCAGAGAGGAGAGAAAATCCCAAGCAGCCTCCACACTGTCAGCTCAGAGCCCGATGCAGGACTCAAACTCATGAACCATGAGATTATGACAGGAGCTGGTCAGTCGCTTAACCTAGTGTGCCACCCAGGCGCCCCTGACGCCTAATTCTAGAGGAATTCTAGCTCACTAGCTCAGAGTCTCCCTCCTGCTTCTCCCGACCTCCCTCTGACTCCGTTTGCAAGCTCGGTGCCCCCCCCCCCCACGCCCCAACTCACAGAAGAGCCTGCCCAGTCCCCCAGCAGGAGAGGAATTGGTGCCGCAGAAGCTCCTGCCGCTTCGCTGAGCCACGACGGCCGGGCTGAGGGGCTGGCGTCTTCCCGCTGCACAGACCCGTCCCCACCCCCCCAGCAGGGCCCTGGAAGAGTCCGAATTAGGCATCTGCCAAGCACACGTGCTTCCCTGCGTGGACGTGGTCTCCCGGGAGGCCCCGGCGTGGCAGCTGCAAACGCTGCCCGCTCCAGCAGCCGCTGCCTCAGGCGGCCGCGCGTGCCCTCGAACCCTGCCTGCACCCTCATCTCCCGTCCGGTCTCCGCGAGAGGATCGTGTCCCCAGGGTTGCAGCTTTCCGGGGGCTTCACGGAAAATCGTCTCCACCGCCTGGTGGGCCACAGGCCACAGAGCCGCCTTCCGGACTTGGCTCATCCCCTCACTTCCTTCAGGCCGCTGCTCCCGGGCGCCTCCCTGTCACCCCGGTTCCCCTCCCCTCCTTTCCCTGCCCTGCAGCCTCCGTCCTGGACCCCCCCCCCCGCCCCCAGCTGTGCCCCCCAGGCCCGTTGGGTTCAGGCGTGAGCAGGGTCTCCTCCTGGGTGAGGGTCCCACAGAGGTTTGGGTTTTCTGGACGGTAGCGCACGACTCTGTGCCTGATTAGTTGGGGTCACTGTGCTCGGTTTTACCCACCGCCCTGGTCCTGAGAGGAGTCCGACCGACTTCAGTCCTAGGAATCCCGTGAACCGGCTTGGTTAGCACGGGCTGCCTGTGACGCCGGCCAGAATGACCCAGAGCCCTTGACAGCACACACACGTGTGAGGCGGCGCTAGACCCCACAGGTCCCTGGGGGCCCTGGGCAGGGACCGTCCCTGCGGCGGCTCCAGGCCCCTAGCCTCACGTGCCCCCCGCCTGGCGCACCATGGGCCCCGCCGCGGCCCCTCCGGGGCAAGAGCGCGGTAGGCATCTCTGCGTCCCTGAGTCCTTTAAAGTGGATGTCACATTTCTCTACAGAATCTTTATGAGAAAAAGCCATGTTTTCTCTGCAGTTATTCTCATCACAGTATAAACTAATGGATTTTTCCAAGGTTTTGAGGTAGACCATCCTATCTCGTGAGGAAAATGCAGGAATTTGCAGGACAACAAAAGCCGGGGCTTTCCTGCAGCTCAGGGTGGGGGCTGGGGCGGCTGGAAGCCTGGTTTGTTCTGCTGGGGGGGGGGGGGGGGGGGGCGTGCACAGCACGGGACCCCTGCAGCCTGGCTCTCGACTCCTAGCGGCGCCCCAGGTGAAGATGTGTGTAGACGCCTAGAGCCCCCAGGAGCCACGGGGCAGCTGCTGACCCAGTGACAGCACGCCCGCCCCGCCCCGTTCCAGCAGATGGGGCAATCCAGGCGGCCTCCGAGGCAGCGGCGCCACGGATCTGCACCCCGCCCTGGCTCACACGGCAGCCACAGGCACTGTTGAAATGTAAACACATCAAAATCACATAAACTCAGTTTCTCTGTCACCCTGGCCACGTGCCACCAAGTGCTCAGCAGTCACCTGTGGCTGCTGTCAGCTCGGGGACAGCGTGGGCTGTGCGCCCTTGTGACCCAAGGGAAGGCTTGGGCGCAGTTCAGGCAAATGATGGCGGACAGTGTGCCATCACCCGAACTTGCTTTACGGAAAAATAGGCGTCGAACCTTCCTCCCGAGAGCGTCGGGATTCCTTCCAAAGGCTGATTGGCACGTTCCAGGCTAGACGGAGTTCAGGAGGCGATAAGCCCTTTCTGGGTCAGGGCGGTGCTCGTGCGGTTGCTGTCCTGGGAACCCGCGTGACCGCCGCCAGCACGGCCCGGCCCTCGTTTCCCGGGGCCACCGGGCGGCGCCACATCTCCTTCGTGTCTTTGCAGGGCGGGAATGACCACGAGATCTTCACTGACCCGAGGACCGTGGGCTACACGGTGGCAGCGCCCGAGGACACCCGCAGGATCTGTGAAGAGCTGTTCTCCTAGCGGCCCCTCCCCCGAGGGCGGGCGGAGGTCCCGCCGACAGGCCCTCCCCCCCCCCCCCCCCCGTGCCCCCGCACCCCGGCCCTGCCGGGAGCTCCCGAGTCTCAGCCCCTCCGGATGTGCAATCGCGGAACATACGGTTTTCCGGGGACGCTTCCCCATCGTTGTAGGAGGATTCAGAAAGGACAGAGGTGCCCTGACCTCCCCTCCTGACTGAAAAACGTGACTACAGGCGTTAACGACTGGACCCCTGCGGACTGGGCCCGTGTCAGTGCTGCGGGGGGATTTGGTGGTGAGAAAGGACGAGATGTTTACAGCCACTCCAGTCCCCTCTGGGAGCAGCTCCTGCCCGAGGGCCACCTTGGGGGTGCTCTGAACCCTGCGGTGGCCGCTCAGTGACCCCTGACCCCCAGGGCTTCGCACCTCAGCTGCTGTGGAACTCAGGGGACGGACTTCACTACACTCGGGAGGCTGCCGCTTCTCTGACCTTCCAGTGCAGGAAGGGGGGGGGGGCGGAGGGTTCCACTCCCCCCCACCCTGCACCTGGCCGGCTCCCCAAGGGCCTTACTCCCCTTCAGATTCTCAGCGATCACGGGAGAGCCTGGATCATGACCCCCTGGATCTTCTCGCGAAACCCCAATCCCACCCCAGTGACTTGAGGGTGGGAGCAGCACAGTGGTCGGGCCTGCGATCCCCCCCACCCCTGCCCCCGCTTCGGGCCCGGCCGCACAGGGCCTTCCCGGGAGGCGGCACCCACGTCACTTTAGCATCTGGGTGCGCTGGGACCACAGACCCTCAATGCACCCCAGTCCACGGCCCGGCCTCTGCGCCCCGCCTGGGTGCTTTCATCTCCGCGGAAGCTGGCTCCCCCAAGCCTTCGGGGGGCCCCGAGGCCTGTCTCCATGGGGTCAGGTGGCAGGCAGCCTGCCTGTGTGACCACAGACAGGGAGGCCTGGGTCCGTGGCTCCCAGGTCGCCGCCACCCCGCCGTACCTTTTGTGGTTGCATTTTGCAAATGATACTGTAATGACCTTTCACAAAGAGAAATAGCAAATTAAAGTGATTTTATTGTTTCCTATTTCTCATTCGGATGACCTTTTTCTCCTCTGTTTCGTCAGACGATCGGCTGTGTTATCCTGTCGGGTTCGGGCAGGAAAGCCACCGTTTGGGACACTCTGGCTCCTGGGGTTTCTGCCGCGACAGGGTTGTGTGTGTCCGGGTGGCACATGGCCTTCGTCACCGTCCTGCCCGTGGGGTAGGGAGCCGCGACTCCCCGTAACTTTCCTTGACTTGTTACAGCAAAGGGAGTGGAGTCTTCCTCACCCTCGTCCTGGCTTTTCTAACTGAAGACCCTGCCCGGGGGCCCTGAGGCCAGCAGGCTGCACCCGTCTCACCTCCCTCTGCACTGCCTCCACCCCTCCCTCCTGCAGCGGGGACACAAAGTCAGAACAACGGGTGCACCTCGCTGCCCGGACTCAAGTCCTGGCTGTGCTGTGACCCTCTGTGACTGACTGGTTCACCCCAGCCTGTGTGCGGTCAGGTGGGGAACTTCAAGCACCTCACTCAGCCCCCAGGAGCCCTGCAGGGCAGGCACTGCGCCCAGGGCAGGGCCCATCCAGGGGGCCCCTGGAGGGGGGAGAGGGGCCAGGGAGGGCACACCCGGGACTAACGGAGAGGGGCCAAGGAGGGACCACCTGGGGGCCACTGGAGACAGAGGGGCGGGGGAGGGAGGGGGAAGGGGGAGGGGCCAGGAGTGCCCACTTGGGGGCCACTGGAGGGGAAGGGGGGGCCACTCCTCCCCGGGGCCGCAGTGAGGCGCCCGCTCTGCATTCCAGGGAGGGAACGGGGTCTCAGGACCCGCAGGGCACCCTGCGAGGTCTCTCCAGCCAGCAGGCAGGCAGCGCCTGGGCAGAGCCGGGCCCACCTTGCAGAGCCGGGCAAAGCAGCCATGGCCCTGAATCACTTCCTCTCCAGCCGCTGCTTCCTCCCGCCTAACCGCTCCTTGACCTTGGCCCCATCGGCCCCTGGGCCCAGCAGCCAGGCCCTGGGCTCCCTGGCACCGCCGCTCAGCCCTTCACTAGGAGCTGGGCCCGGGCGCCCTCCGCAGGCTCAGCCCCCACCCAGCCCCCACCCCCACCCCCACCCCCACCCCCCCCCGTCCCATGCCGAGTGTGGCGCTCCGACACGTCTCCTCGTGAACAAGCGCCCACTTCAACTCTGCCTTCACAAGTCCAGTGGGCTGCTGTCCGTTTCCCTAAAATGCTCGGAGAATCCGTACTGCAGTGAACACATTCACCTCTGCGCTAATAAAAATGATCCACCCGCCCTTGGGGACAGACGCTGGCTGGGCACGAGATTCCCAGCCTGACCCCAAGTCCAGCCCAGAACAGCCCAGCGTCCGTCGGGCCCCGCACCTGCCGCCACGCTCCCGGGCCAGGAGACCCTGGGCTTTCACACCTCCCGCTTCCAAACCACCTGGGTCGGGCCCACCCTTGCTCCGCCTGCACCTGCTCACGCGGGAGCCACGCCAATGCACTGACAGGGCACGTAGCCACAACCGACACGGCCCGCAGCGTCTCTTTCCACGAAGCCAGCCTCTACTGCAGGGCCGCCTGCGCTGGAGAGTGTGACCGTCAAGGAAGAGGGGACGATCCCTCTTCTTCACCAGCCAGCCAGAGAAGCAGCGTGTCAGCCTCATTTGGGAGGAGGCCCGACCTGCTGGCTTAAAGGAGAAGCCTGCCTCCGCCCTCACACACAACACCCAGCCTTGCACACAACACACTTTATTGAGGGCGAGGTGACGCGCAGGGAGGGGGAGAGGGATGGGGTCCCGGATGCCACCCCAGCTCGTCACCGGCATCAGGTGCCCTCCCAGAGCTTCTGTGAATGGGGACTCGGTGTCTGCACAGAGGACCGCTGGGAACACGCGAGGCTGGGGGCCGGGGGCCGCCGGGGGCCCGGCAGCAGGCGGAGGCGGGGCACACGGGCGGGGAAAGGCTGTCTGCACCGGGCTGCGCGCGCGCTCCGCCAACGCCTGCCTGCAAATTCCCAGCCAGCCCCCACCGGTCGTCAGCAAAATAGTTCTGTCCTCCAAAGGAAGCCATTCCCAGACTTCAACCCTTCCACACACGAGACACGTGAGGGCCTCACCGCTTCCGGCACCCGTGGGCCCCCCGCCGTCGTTTGCAGCATCGCGGTCGGATCCCAAGCCAGCTATGTTTTTTTGTTTTTTTTTTTTTTTTTGAGAGAGTTAGAGACAGAGTAGGGGACGGGCAGAGAGAGAGAGAGAGAGCGTGCGAGAGAGAGCATCCCAAGCAGGCTCTGCACCAACAGTGTGGATCCCTACGAGGGGCTCCATCCCACAAACCATGAAATCATAAGCTGAGCTGAAGCCAAGCGTCGGATGCTTAACCGACTGAGCCGCCCAGGCTCCCCGACCCCCAAGCCAGCTTTACTAGGTTCACTTCCCTGCAACTCTTGACAAAACGGACCTTTGAGTACACAGAAGCCACAGATTTCCAAACGTTATTATCCAGCTATTCCTATTTTTAAATCACAACTAGAGCCAAACCAAACCACCGCAAAGAAAACCCTAAACATTTGCTAACGGAAAATACCCACAAAGGTTCGAAACGCCGGCGGCCAAGCGCACACAGGGCTGGTTCCCGGGGAGAGCCTTGGTTATTAAAGAAAAGAAAAAGACCCTCAGCATTTAACACCAGTTTTCAGAAAAACCCCATCACCAAGGGTGCATTTTCTCTCCAAGTTTTGACTTTACCAGGCTGTCGAGAAGCGAGCCACCACCGACCGACTCCTCTGATCTGGAAGGATCTGAACCAAGGCCTGAATTTAAACAAAGTCCCTCCCACTCCCACGCCGACCCTGACCCACCACCTAAACGACCAGGGCTGTGAGATGTCTGCTAAATTGAGGGCAGAAGGGGAAGACCAGGCTCCTGAGAGAGGATTCAGCTGAGCAGGGCGTGGCCGATGGGAGGGCTCAGGGCTGCAGCAGGCACCCCTTTCCCCAGGCGCCCAGCTGGGACTCTTCACACTGAAAAGGCACCAAAGACGCCCACTCTCCCCACCGCCCTGCCCGGGGAAGCTGGCTCCCCTAGAACGAACCGAACAGACCCAAGAGAAAAGAGCCTGCTCTGCCCGGGGCCAAGCAGAGACGCGAAGGTGGGTGTATGCGTGGAATTCACCCCAGGAAATGGGCAGCACCTCCCATCCGCCCCAGGGCGGGCTGCATCTGGGGATTCTGAGCCCCCGGAGAGGCATGAGGGACTCTGTGGGCTGGAGAAGCGCCACCTGACCCACCCCCCCACCCCCCAATCCTCCCGAGGCTGGGGTTGAACCATCCACTCAGCCACCAGCGGGCGCCCCTCCTTTTTCCATGCTTTTAATGCTTTTCAGATGGTGAGAGGCTGTTGCAATGGTCCGAGGCCGTGCTGGTGGCCGCGAGCACCCCCGTGCCTGCCCCCCACACCCCTTCCTCCGGAAGATGCTCGAAAGGGACCGCGCTGCCCCCTTTGAAGCCCCGTCTCCAGCGGTGGATCGTCATCTGCAGTTTGGTTCTGCCTCCTCCTCCACCCCAGAGTCTCCCGCGGGCCCAGGAAAAGGGGCGCTTCCGGCGTGTCCTAGGAACTGACGACGTGGCCAGACCAAGTCTCGTGCTTGGTGCCCGGGGCCAGATGCGTGATGACCACCTCCACGGCCTGCAGCTTCTCGTTCTTGGGGGGGATGGAGCACATCTTATAGGTGACCTCGTCGCCTTCCACGGGGACGTACTCCCCCTCCACGCTGCGGGGCAAGGAGACAGCACTCAGTGGCTGGCGCCCAGCTCCAGGCCGCACCCAGGACCCCAGCCCGCACCATCAGAGCATCTGCCCCTCCTGCCCTGCGCTGCCTCACACTGTCCGGCAAATGGGCGCCATGGGCCCGTGGACAGCAGAGCAGGGAGAGCCGGTCCGGGCAGAGAGAGAGAACAAGGCGTCGGCATCACGGGTGAGAGCCACCCGGGTCCCAGGAGAGCCCCAGAACCCAGGCTGCGTGCCTCTCTGCCCTCCAGCTTCCCAGACACCCAGCAGGCCTGCACGAAAGTCCCTTCTGTGCTGAACGCGAGTTCAGGAGGGTCCCTACCCTGTGACCCCACTCTCCATGGGACACAAGTCACCATCTCGCCCACGCTGGTGAGGTGCCCACTCTGAGGACACCTCCAGCAAGAGGGAAATCCCCTTCAGATCCTGGAACTGGTTTGCCTTGAGTGAAGAATCACCCAGCAAAGGGTGTTTCACTCTTCCACCTGGCCACCAGGAAGCTCAGCACCCCCGGAGGCCCATCTTGCTGACACGCCCCCAGCCCCGTGGTTTCTGTACTAACCTACTTTCACGGTGCACCTCGAGTATCCCTGTAAGCCACTACAGATCCCTCCAGAAGGAGGCAGGCACCTTTACGCGGCCACGTACGCATTCATGCACACAGCACATGCATGGCGTTAGCACCTTCCCGCTGTCTGTCCTGTACGGGAGCCGGTACGAGGCCTGAGGTGTAAGGACTCTGGGGGGGCGAAGGGGTAAGGGAGGGATAACTCTCCCCTCACAACAGACATTGGCAACAGAACCCCACTTCCAAAACTGGGGTTTTTATACATTGCCTGGTCTGCCGTGTGGCATAGGACTCAGCCTGCCACGGACTGCAAGACTGGGGGGTGCAGACGTCAAAGAATGGTGCAGGGGCAAGGGGGTGCCAGATTCGGTCCCCACGTAGCCAAAGGCGGCCTGGAGAAGGCAGTGGGGCCGGGCCGCTGGACGACTTCCAGTCCCATGGCAGCGGATGTGTGGGCCCCGCCCGGGCCTCCCCAGGGTCTCCAGACACTCAGGAAGGAAGGCCGTCAGCGAGCAAGGGGCAGGAGGAAGGGCCCAGCTCCACACTTCCTGGAGCAGAGGGGACAGGCAGCCCCCAGCCTCACCGAGCGCCCCCCACCCCGAGGCGGGCAGGAAATGAGACTCCAGGTCAAATGCAGCTCCCACAGCTCACAGGGGCGCCCCCTCCCCGTCCACCAGACCCATCCACAAGTTCTCAACAGTGTCTCTCTCTCTCTCTCTCTCTCTCTCACACACACACACACACACACACACACACACACACACACACACACTGTCACCTGCAGCCTCCCACACGCCCGCCCCCAAACAGTCACACACAGGTCACAGGCAGAAACTCACGCCCTCACACGCAGCACCCGTCAAAGTCACACACTCCCCCTGCCTTCTTGCCCAGCCCCAAACCGCCCAAACCAGCCCTGACTCACTCGGAAATGTGCAGGAAGATGTCGGGGCCGCCATCGGCCGGGGTAATGAAGCCGTGGCCCTTGGATCGGCAGAAGCATTTGCAGACTCCTTTGTAGACAGGACCTTGAGAAGCCCGCACCGTCCTGAGAGACAAGGGGAAAGTGTGAGAGGGGCCCCCACCAGCCCTCCAGAACAGCCACCCACTCTCCCTGGGGCACACCCAGCTCATCCCAGCGTCCCCACAAAAGCTGTGCCCTGGACAGTAGCCAGGGCCACCACGGACAGCCATGCAGGCTGTGCACTGCACAACTCTGGGAGCCATTCACAAAGACTGTCTCTCAGACAGACTCAGAGTCAGAGTGACTCTCTGACGACCCCAGGCCTCAGTTTCTCCATCCAGAAAGGGGGTTAGACTAAAAGCTCTCTGAGCATCCCTCCCAAGACTAGCTACGAATGACTGCAACAGCCTCTACAACATGGGCCCAAGATCTGCGGCTCCCAGGCACCGTGCAGGCCCTCCGCAGCACTGTGGCCAGCCTGCTGCTGTGCCCAGTTTACAGCTGAGGAAGTCGAGGTGCCACAAGGGAAGACGCTTGTGCGTGGTTAAAACCCAATGCTTTAAGACCTCAGTGATTTCCTACTTAAGAGCCCCAGCCTGGCACCGGCTCAAGAGGCCTGGGGGAGTGCCCTCCAGTTTACAGGGTGCCTTCCCAGTCCTTCAGCCCTTACCCCAACCCAAGCCTCCCCATAGGACAGACCGGGACACTGAGTCGCAGAGATGGCCAGATACAGTGACCCTGACCCGGGCAGGAGGCTGGCCCGAGACTCACGCGGAGAAGGTCCTCGTCCGGCGGGTGGGCAGCGGGCTGGGGACCACGTTGCCCCGAAGAGGGGACGGCGACCGGTCTCGGGCCCGCTGGGTGTCCAGCAGCCCGACGGAAGCCTGGTGTGTTGGGGGCTGTGGCGGCGGAGGTGGCTCAGATGACATGGCTGACCTGGGAGGAGACCAGGGGCTCTCAGGGGCCCGTGCCCTGCAAGGGGGGGCCCCGGCTGCCGCCCACCCCGTGTCTGAGTCTCCCCTCGGAGACCCCTGCTCTCGGCTGGAGAACACAGGCGCGAGGCTCACTTGGTACAGCAATCACCTCCTCCAGCAACAGGGCCCACCTTGCCCCGCGGGGTCAGGCACCTCCTCGGCTCCCGCTGGCCTCGCGGATGCCATCGTCCCCTCTATGTCCCCAGCAAGCAGCACAGCCATCAGCACACTCGGGGCCCACAGTCAATACCCGTGAAAGGGAGGCAGCACAGGCGGGCAGGGACCCTTCACGGCCAGCTACCTAGATCACGCTCCAGCGACTCAACAGCCTTGACCTGCCAAGTGCCAGGCACTGTGGTTCCGGAAGGTGGGGGCCAAGGGGGGCACAGCACACAGCGCTCCTCCAAGGAACTCTGGATACACCCCAGAGAGGCGCCCACCCCAGGTCTGGACCCCCCAGGGGCTGTCACAAGCTTGCACCCAGGACAGCAGGCCTGAGGGACCCAACGTGGCAGGAACACTGCAAAGGCCGTGTCCCCACCAGCCGCTCAGTCGGTGTGCAGCCTGCATGGGTCCCTGGCCGAGAGGAACTGCAGACCCGGTGACCCTTAACCTGCATGGGAGGTGGGGTCAGGCCCGGCTGCCACCCTGCTCATGGCAAAACTAGCAGAGCACGACCGTGGCTGCTGCAGCCGACACGTGACCGACGGCCTGGGTGCCCGCGCTAACTCGGCCTTGGCTCAAGGTCACCAGAAGGAGTGAGCAGGGTTCAGGAGCCAGAGGGGCAGGGGAAGTCCTTTCCCGTCTCTGGGGCCAATTTCCCCATCGGCAGCGTGGGGCGGCCGAGTGGGCGTCGCCCAGCACCTGCTCAGGGCCGAGCCAGGGCTGCGGCGGAGCCCCGAACGCCCACTTCCCGGGGCACCCCGAGCCAGGCGGGCCAGAATCAGCGCGACGGGTTGGTAGGGCTCCCACAGGGTTTTCACACTGAAAACTTTTCAACCCAGCCTTCCAACTACTCTTGGAAAATAACCCTCGAAGCTCTGACAGCCTTGACCCCGCCCCCAGCCCGATCGCCAGCCCTGCCTCCCTCGTTTATACCGGCTCTGTGGCCCCAGAGCCCTGGGCTTTCCACCTCCATCGCCCAGCAGAGCCCCGTCTGCCCTGGCAACCCAACCTCCCCCCCAGCACAGGCCTGGTTACCCCCCCAAAAGGGCCAGACCTCTCCCTGTGCCCCTCCCCCTACTGTCTCCCCTCAGCCCCCACACTCCCGTCTGGCCTCAGTGCTGCTGCCCTGCGGGAAGGGAGAGGGCCGGCCGGCCTCCTGGAGGAACGGACATAGCTACCTCCTGACCCTTCTCTCAGCTGCAGCCGCCGCCAGGGAGGATCGGGGAGCCCCCACCTCATAAAGGCCCCGGCTGCTCGGCTGGCGGGGTCAGGGCCCCAGCAGACCCACCAAGACAGGTCATAGAGTCCTGGAATGTTCCGGCGCTTGGGGTTCTGGGAAAGGTGCTGGCCTGGAGAAGGGAGCGCCCTGCCCAGGCCCTCCCAGGACAGCAGATGGGCCACCAAGGGAAGCAGGGAACGGCCCTCCCTTCTCCCATCCAGTCTCCTTCCCTCTTCTGGAGTCAGGCACATCTGACCTCACACCACGGCCATGAAGTTGCGATGAAATAATACGCGCTAAGCACTCAGCACACTATCTATGCAGAACAGGTGCGCAGGGTGTGCCAGCTAGGATGGCCGTAACTGCCATCGTATGGTCATTCAACAAAGAGCTAACTGGTGCCAGGCCCTAGTGGCACAGGGCCCGAGTTCGGAGTCAGAGAATAAGCAGGCGAATAGATCCGTAAATAAGATCAATACACATCTGCAGAAGGCCTAGTAAGAAATATACAGGGAGATAAAGAATACAAGGGTGGACATGATTCTCTACTGAGGGGACAGCTGGGTCCTGAACAGCTGTCAACCATTTGAAGAGCCAACCATTTGAAAAGCAGAGGGAGGCTCTTCTAGGCAGGGGGGAACAGCCTATGCAAAGGCCCTGTGGTTGGCAACAGCTGGCCCAGGTGTGGCTGCAGGCCAGCAAGGGGTCAGCGGGGTGGGCACCGGAGAGGGGGACCACATCAGCAACATCGAGCGTGTCTGCCTCCCTTCGCCTCGGCGGGTGAGGGGCCTGAGGGCCGCACAGGGACTCTCCAGGCCCCTAGGGCCCAGGGCTGGGGCCCACACAGAGCAGAGGTCCATCCTTAAGTTTTTACTCTTTTTTATTTTACGTTATTTTTACTTATTTTGAAGTGAGGGGAGAGCATGAGCAGGGGAGGGGCAGAGGGAGAGGGAGAGAGAATTCCAAGCAGGCTCCATGCTGTCAGCACAGAGCCTGATGCCGGGCTGGAACCCACAAACGGTGTGATCACAACCTGAGCGGAAATCAAGAGTCGGATGCTTAACCTACTGAGCCGCCCAGGCGCCCCGAGCAGGGTTCCCTTCTCAGCCAGGCCCAGAACCAGGAGCCCCGGCTGGCGGTGCCCTCGGTGAGCCCCTGCTGGCATGGCCCAGCGGGGGTGGTGACAGTCACACTCCCTGGCAGTGTTACAAACCAGGATGGAGGGGCGCGGGGAGACCCCGGGACCTTCGCCACCACCCTGCCTGCCTCTGCTGGGCCATCTGAGCTGGAGGCCGGCAGCTGGGCAGCTGGAGCAGCCCCGGCCAGGAGCCAGCCCACCCCCGGGGCCCAGCGGCCACATTGAGCAGTGAATGGCCTCTGTGTGGGGGAGGCGGGGTCAGAGTCCGGCTGTACGGGGAAAACAGCTGGGGGAGGGGGCAGCCAGTCACCCAGGAGCCAACCCGGCAGCTGCCGCACCCCCCCCCCCCCCCCCCGCCCCAGACACAGATGGGGAGAAGGGTCCCAGGCCCAGCCCCACCCACCAGCACAGCCCGGGGCTGGAGGGGCCAGGGCCAGCCCTGTGACTAGCGCCTCCACGAGCAGCCCACACACTCAGCTCCCCACAGCCCCGAGCAGTGTGCAACAGGCACCGCAGCTCAGGCTGGGATGGGCCTCCGGCCTGCAGCAAACTCGGACCAATGTCCCCCCCAGCCAAGGCATGTCACAGCCACTGTGCTGCGCGCACACACACCGGCCTGTGTGTCGGCACCCGTGTACCAGGAGGGCCGCGCCTGCCCCCTCCCCTCCAGGAGCACACGGGCCACTTACAGCACCGAGGGCCAGGATGAGGACCAGGATGAAGGTGCATCCCTTCCAACAGTTACTGGGCCCCCAGCTCTGCGCATGAAATGGAAAGCAGGACAGCACCTTCCTGCCCCCGGAAGCTGAGGCTCAGGGACTGGAGACCCATAGCTGCCAGGACAAGAACAGTGTCCTGGACCCGGCAGTGTTCACAGCACTTCACGTATCACAGCTCATTCATCCCCATTTCACTGATGGGAAAACTGAGGCACAAAGTGTCAAGTAACTTGCCCGGGTCCCCGGGCTGGTAAGTAAACTAGTGAAATACACAGTAGGTCAGACAATGAAAATGTTATGGCGAAGAAAGCAAGCAGGGGAGGGGAGGCGTGAATCAGGGGCTGCATTTTCAAAGCAGGTGGTCTCAGGAGGTAGGGGGTGGGACACGCTCCCCTCCCCCCCCACCAGCTCCCACCCCAGGTCCTCAACACAGCTCAGCCAGGGAAGGGGGATCCAGTTCTAGAGGTGAGGGAGCCAGGAAGCCACGCCCACCCGGTCTGCCCTCAGGGAGGGGTGTGTCAGCAAGGCCTACAGCCCGATCCCAGGAAAGGGTGGAGAAGGGGACCTCAGCCCAAAATAGCCTGGGAATTTTCCACAGGCCCCGCAAGTCCTCCTCGTAGGTCTCAGAGTTCAGCCAGGCACCAGGCTCCGCCCTTCCCAACAACCCCCCTCAACCCACCCACATATCTGGGGTCTCCAGACAACTCTACCGACCCCCAGGTAGCCCCCACCTCCTACCCTCCTGCCCCAAGAACCCACCAACCACATCAAGGATGAGTCAGTCTTAGTCCAGGGAGGGGAGCCTTGGCAGTGTTTTCAGCCATTTACACTTTAGTGAGAGGGAGCTTGCAGTTTATTTCCCAAGGCTCCATTCTTGGTAGCTTTCACACATCTCCTGAGGGTGGTAAAGTGGAGGTGTGGGGGAGCCCCCAGGGAGACCTGGGTTCAAGTGGGATGCTTCGTTCACAGTGTGGCTCTTGGCAAAGCCAGACCACGCCAAGCTGATGCTGAAAACTGGGGTGTCTGGAGCCGCGTGTGGGTTTCCGGCTAGGGGAAGGCAGACACCAGCTGTAGGGCCAGGCCACTGCTGGGGCCCCGACGGCTCCGAACTAGTCGGCACTGAGGGACGGGGGCAGGGCACTGGGGAACCAGCCACGGTCAGGGGAAAGGGGACAGCAGTGAGGCTGAGCTTCTATTCACCTGATGTCCACTGCGCACCAGCGCGACCCCGCATCAGGCTCCCGCAGGACGCACAGACCCGACCCAGATCCACCCCCACACGCGCACCACAGGGGGAGGTGCCTTTACCACCCCCATTTTACAGGTGGGGAAACTAAGTCACAGAGGGGTGCCCACACTTTAGTGTTCCCACCAGCCTCTGGGGAGGGAGTAAAATGCAGACTCTGATCCTGAAGGTCCGGGATGGGGCCTGAGCCCCCCACCCCACCCCCGTGAGGCAGGTGCTGCTGGTTCAGGGGCGCGGCGGGCTGAGTCCTGCCCACCCTCACGGCCAGTGGGCACAGCTAGTGGGTGGCAGGACCCAGGCCCGAACCAAGAGTGATGAAAGGGAACCTGGGGGGCGGAAAGGGGTGAGGTTCTAAATGAGTCACAAGGTTAACTCCAGTGCGCCCAGGTTCCTCCTTTGTAAACTGAGGCCGAGGCTGGGGGACTCCCCTCCCGAGCTCCAGCCCAGCCGGGCCCGGCGCGGCGGAACGGAGGGCTGGCGGCCCCAGAGACAGGTCAGCTCGGCTGAGGCCCCACAGAGGGGTCCCAGGAAGCAAGAGAGGCCCCAGGAGGGGGCCTGAGGCGGCCTCTGCCACCTTCCCCTCCATTGTTCGGGAGAGCGGCTCCCGCGGGGGAGGGAGAGGATGGAGAGGGTGCAGGGGAGGGGCGGGGGAGGCAGGGGGAGGGAAAGGGAGCAGCAGGGGAGGGGCGGGACGGGGGCGGCCGCAGGGGAGCGCAGGGAGCCAGCCGAGCTGGCTGCAGAGACAAACACAAACAAGGCGGGAGGTGCCACGGAGACTCAGGCCGTGACCCGCCGGGAACTGCTCTCCCGCCCCCGCCCCCGGGGGGCCCCAGAGTGCCGGAAAGAGGCCGGAAACCCGAGAACCGGCGGCCCCCCCAGCACCCCCCACCCCGGAGCCCCCTCTCGCCCCAGGGCCTCGGCCAGCCCCGGCCCCGCCCAGCGGAGAAGGTCCCCCAGCGCCGCGCCCCCCGGGGCCCTGCGCCCGCCCCGGCTGCTAACCAGAACCCCATCACCCCCAAGTCACGTATTCCCCCGGAGCATCCTGGCCCCCATCCCCTCGGGCCTTGACTCCGCTCTTCGCTCCCCTGACCCCTGGCGAGAGGCCTCACCGCTCCATGCCTCAGTTTCCTTATTTGTCAAACGGGACGGTCACGCAGCACCCCGGGCCGCGGGCGTGCCAGCTACAAAGGCCTCAGCCAACAATAGTTGAGTCCCTAATGGTGGAAGTGTCAGGCATGGGGCGATCTAGAATGATCCCTCCCATCCGTGTCCCTGCTGATGGGACACAAACGAAAAGCCCTGACTTTGCCACTCCCCGGCACAAAGGAAGCCCGTCGGCCTCCCCGGGGAGCGCACCCGCCACGGCGCCCCAGGACCCCAGGGACCCGCTGGGTCTGGCTCGGCTCCGCGACGCTACAGAACCCAGTTCAGGGGTCAGGCGCCACTTGGGGGGGGGGGGGCGGGAGGACAGGCCAGCACCGAGGCCGCCCCGAGAGCAGGAGCGCAGGAGGTGGCGGGGGCCCTGGCCGAAGCCCGGGGGGGGGGGGGCGCTGCACTGGGTCACTTCAAGGCATGGGGCGGGGGCTCGGTCATTCCTGCCGTGGGGACTTGCAGGCGCAAAGGCCCTGGGGAAGGTGGCGGCGGGAGGTAACAGAAAGCCCAGCGGGCAAGTTAGGGACTTAGACAATAGGGCCGGGAGCGGGAGCTTTCAAGCCGGGGCGCCGGTTTGAACCGACGGGTCTACAGGTTCCCTTTGGCGAAAGGGCTGGAGGGGAAGGACTGGAGACGGAGACCGAGAAACAGCAAAAGCGCCAAGTAAAAAACACGCCGGGAGCCGACGTTCCCCACACCCCGTTAGACGAGGGGAAAGTTAATACCACCGCTCTGGAGACGGGGAGACTGAGGCTCCGGGAGGCCCCCCCGTTTTGCACAGCTCCACCGGCGGCTCCCCAGTCCGCCCGCCCCTCACACACACCCCCTCCCAACCCCAGCAGACGTGGGGGCCGGGGGCTTCCTTTTAAAAAAAAATCCAAATACGACGTTGCACTTCCGGCCTGCAAACGGGCGGCAAGCGGGGAGCCTGTGGGCGCGGGGGAAGTTCTTCGGCTCCGCCCAGAGGCCCCCCCATCGGGGCGCAAACGCTCGCCGAGCGCCCGGCGGCTCCTCCTCCCCCAGCTGCGGCCAATTGCGCGGCGCCAGGGCGGCTCTCCCCCGCCGCCCCCCCCCCGGGCTGGGGTCCCGCCGCCCCCCCCCACGCGGCCCAGCTGGGGGTCTGCGCGCCCTCCTGCGCCCCGCGGGTGCCCCCCACGCTCCTGCCCCAAGGCGAAAGCGAGGAGGAGGCTTCCCTGCACGCCCCGAGCGCGGCCCCGCCGCCCGCCCCCAACCCCTCCCGCGGCCGACACACCCGCCCCTTCCCGGGGACCAGTAACCTGCTCTTCCCCAACAGGCCGCAGCGGCCGGGCATTTCCTGGGGGCCCAGGGACCCGGCCCGGAGCCCCCTGCCGGCGGCCTGCGAGACCCCGCACGAGGGCGCTGAGTGCGGGCCGCGGCCGCAACGAGACCGAGGTCCCGTCCCCGCGGCCCCCGGGGCCCCGAGGCGGGCACCCCGCCACACCCCTCCAGGGGGGCCCGGAGACCTCCCTACCTGCGACCCGATCCGATCCGCCAGCGGCTCGACTCCGACTGCAGGAGCCTGGCTGGGGAGGGGGCGTGGTCGGCGGGGCGGGCCCGCGGAGGCCCCGCCCCCACAGGCTCCCAGCCAATGGGGCGGCGAGACGGGCGCCGCACTGCCAGCGGGCGGGGCGCGCAGGGGCAGCCCCGACGGGACCTTTGTGTCCGCGAGCCGCCCTGGCGGGAGTGCGGGTCGCCTGACTCCGGGAGGGGCCCGCGGCCCCCCCACCCCCCGTCCCGCGCGGGAGCCGAGAGGATGCCCGCCAGGGCTGCACTCATGGTCGGAACACTCCCGTGAAAAGTCCCGTTCAGGTCCCTCCCCTAACCCCCCCGGCCCGCCCCGCCCCGGCCCCTGCCGACCTCAGCTCCAGAATCCGGAATGCCCGGGGCGCCTCCGTTTCAGAGGAGAAAAGAGCTCCCGGAACGCTGGGAAGCAATAAAAAGACAGGTAGAACGGAAGGGAGGAAGAGAAAGGGGGGGGGGGGGAGCAAAAAATAAAAAAAAACAGGGAAAATTGTTAATTTGTTCTCTTGTTTTGTTCTTAATTTGCCTTCCCTCCTGAGTCCTCTGTGTCTGCAGATAATTGGCATTACCCTCCTTTTCCAGGAGAGGAAACCGAGGCCTAGAGAGAGGTGGCCACACCCCGCCCCCTGCCCGGTCGCTGCAAGTGGACCCTGGCGCAGGTTGGTCGAGGGACGCGAGGGAAGCCTCTAGTCCCTGGACTGGAAGTGGCCCGTGGGTCCCTCCTGGAGCCCACCAGCCCTGTTTGCCCCTCGCGCTCTCGCCCTCCTTCCCGGCTCCACACGCAGACCGCTGAGGCCACAGCAAGAATACAGCCGTCCAAGCCGGGAAGCGGGTCTTCCACCAGGACCTTGGACTTCCCAGGCTCCAAAAACGAGAGAGGTCAGTGCGTCTGCCACCCAGACTCTGGTGTTCGGTTAGAGCAGCAGGAGCAGCCTTGTCCTTCTCGGCTAACCACAGAATTTTTTTTTTTTTTTTTTAATTTTCTCAAGTGTATTTGAGAGACAGAGACAGCACCAGTGGGGGAGGGGCAGAGAGACGGGGTGGGGGCGGGGAGAATCCCAAGCCGGCTCCACACTGTCCGTGCAGAGCCAGATCCGGGGCTCGAACTCCAGAACGTGAAATCATGACCTGAACCAAAACCAAGCGCTGGACGCTTAGCCGCTGAACCCCGCGGGGGCCCCAGCCTCTGAGAATCGCACACCTGAGTTTGGTGCAGTCGTGGTCTGTAGTCATTCGCTGGTGGCGCCGTCCATGCCAAGCTCTCTTTGGGGGCCCTGAACATCCAGAGTAAAAAGTGCCCACCCAGTTCCCGCCCTGGGGGGGGTTCCTCCCCTAGAGGGATGGCAGACCGCTTGATAAGGGGGGTGTCAGGTGGTGGGCTGGATAAGCATCCCGGGCTCAGCGAGTGCCCTATCCTTGGCCCCGTCAGAGAACACAGGTCCCGTGGAGGGTTCTCGCTGCCAAATTGCTGTGGCTCGAGCCTCCTGCAGCCCGAGACCTCAGCCCACCATCGTGCCCCCATCTCGTGGCACTAGCCTGGTGGCCAGACTTGAGCCAGCAGCAGAGAAGATCTGGCCTAACTTTTCTGTTATCTAGCCAGCCATCTGACAAATATTTGTTGCCCATAAGCTCTGTTCTAAAGTCCAGCTGTGTCCACAGCAGGGACGGCCTTCATGTGGGAGAAGCCAGGAGAGTCTTCCCTGGAAAGTGCTGGTAGACCTGAGATCTTCTGAAAGATCAGGAATTAACTAGACAAAGGAAAGGATATTCCTGAGAGAGGTTAGAGCATGTGAAAAGGCCCTGAGGCAGGAGTGTGGTGGGACCAGGACACAGGAGCCAGAGCGGGCTAAAGGGGTGGGTCTCAATCACAGAGCTTCACTTGAAGAGTGACAGCAGCCAGGTAAGGTCCAAAAGCAGGGATGACATGGAGACGCCTCCCCCCAAAGCATAAACGTCCACCCATCTGCCCCCCCACCCCCATTCCTTCCCTCCACGCCTTGTGCCTCCCCTCATGTCCGCAGCCTCACATGTTTTCCACGTAGCAGCCAGAATGAGCTTTTGAAATCATAAACCCAACTGCTGCTAAAGAAAAAATTATTTCTGACACTTGCCGGAGCAGTAAGAGACTGTATGCAGACTCCGGGGCCGCCACCATGGGGTTGTGCATTCAGGGAGGGAGGTGGAGCTCAGCTCAAAAGGCGGAGAGGAAAAGCAGGGGTGCATAGCCACAGAGAGGGGTCCCGAGTGCCAAGCTGCTGGGGCGGGGGGGCTCTGGCTAAGCTGGGATGAGGACCTCTAATAGGACTGAGGGGAGGGAGGGGCGCCTGGGTGGCTTAGTCGGTGAAGCGTCCGACTTTCGCTTGGGTCATGATCTCGCGATTCGTGGGTTCGAGCCCCGCGTCGGGCTCTGTGCTGACTGCCGGCTCAGAGCCTGGAGCCTGTTTCAGAGTCTGTGATTCCCTCTCTCTCTGACCCTCCCCTGCTCACGCTGTCTCTCTCTCTCCCTCTCCCCTAGAAATTAAAAACAAAAAATTTTTTAAAAAAAGGACTGAGGGGAGGGGATTCTGCCTAAACCCACTTGTCAGCATTTCTGCCCCAAATGGAGTCTGTAAGGACAGGGTGGGAAGTTCAAGTCTGCACCAGGCGAGCAGAGGCTCAGAGGAGCCTGACTGGAGTTTGGTCAGGGACACAGAGTCTTTGCCACCAGGGCCTCCCGCCCCTGCTCAAAACCCTTCAGTGACTCCCTGTTGCTGTTTTAATGAAATCCAGACTCATGTGCTCTGCTCAGCACTTCAGACTGACCTTAAGTAAGGAAACTCCAGCAAGGGGCTCAGCAAGTTGGAGGCGCGTCTGTCACGGAGAAGACGGGGGTGGATATGTCCGGGGTGGACTCGGCAGGTCTGGAGGCCCCCAGGATGGGGTGTCTCCACGCGCTTTAACCCTCAGCGGGTCCCCCCGCTTGGCTCCTCGGTTTTTTCATCTGTAAAATGGGAACGACGTCAGCACCCCTCGCCAGAAGGTTCCCGTGTTAAAGTGAGAGAATGCATGAATGCTTAGCACACAGCCTGGCACGTTGTGAGAATTTGGGTTTTAACGTTTGGTTGTAAATGTTTATTCTGAGAGAGAGTGAATGGGGGAGGGGCAGAGGGAGAGAGAATCCCAAACACCGTCAGCACAGAGCCCAAGGTGAGGCTCAAACTCACACACCACGAGATCATCACCTAATCTGAAATCAAGATGCTTAACTGACTGAGCTACCCAGTTGCCCCTAACTGTTAATTTATTTTGAGAGAGAGTGAGAAAGTGCGCAAGGGTGGGGAGGGGCAGAGAGAGAGGAAGAGAGAAAATCCCAAACAGGCTCAGCGCCGTCAGCTCAGAGCCCAGAGTGGGGCTCCATCGCATGAGCCGCAAGATCATGACCTGAGCCAAAAGCAAGAGCCAGACGCTCAACTGACTGAGCCCCCCGGGCGCCCCAAGAGAATTATTGTTATTATTATTTTATTATTATTTGCTTTTTAAAACACTACTTGTTTAAATCCGGGTGTCGCACTGGCAATGACAAAAGCCACCCAGTTCTGCCCCTACCACGTGCCCAGCACACTGGGCACCATGACCGGTGTCAGCCCTGGGGACCGGCACAGTTTGACTTCTGTGATCCTCGTCACAGCCCAGAACTCTTGTGCCAATCTATGGGTGGGGAAAGAAGGCCCAGGTCAGCAATGCAACTTACCCGAGATCACACAGCAATACCTGGACAGGGCAAGATTTGAACATCGCCATGTCACACCCCAGGGTGCTCATTCCCTAGGTCATTTAGACTGAAGTCGCCTCCCTAGGGTGTGTTGCCCCACTCAGGGTCTCTGGGAGGGGGCTCCCTGGGCTGGAGCAGGGATGGGAACTTGGCCTCAGGCAGCACCAGCTCCTTCCTGTCTGGTGCTCTTTGTCTCTTTTGGGCCACCACTTTCTAGAGTCACTTCCCTGTCCTTGGTCTGCCTCTAGCCACTGCCCCTCTGTGCAGCAGCCCCTGAGGGGCTTCACAGGACACGCACTGGATCTCAGCACTCCCTGCCCACGCTCTGCTCACTCCACTGCAGGCCTACTGGGTACCTCTGGGCCTTTGCACATGCTGTTCCCTCAGCTGGGACCAGTCTTCCCCCACATCTTCCCAGGCTGCCTCTTTCTGGTCATTCCACCTCTGCCCACCCTGAACCAAATGTGGTACTGCCTGAAATGTGAGTTTCCAGGGCAGGCACCTTATCCGTCTCCCGTGGTTTTATATACCCGACACATAGTAGGTGCTCAGTAAACACACACTGAAGAAATAAGGGCAGCAGCTCAAATACACAAATACGCACAGGTGGAAGGGTACAAAACCACACCCCCCCCCCCCACGACACAGCTCCTGGGGCTCTCCTCCAGACCCTGAGAGCTTTCTCCGTCTAGAAAGTCCCCCTCCCCTCCTCCAGGCAGGCCTCCAGGGGGAGCTCTGTCCCAGAGTTCTGAGGATAGGGGGTGGGCGGCAGCCACCAGGGAAGAAGGAACCTCGTCCCTCCTTCATCCGGGTGCCCCCTGATCCGTGAGAGGACCTTCGTGGGTGCCCAGGGCACGAGGACCCCCGCTTCCTTTTTCTCGCCCAAGCAGGCAGCGGGGCTTGGGGCTCAGCTCAGCGGGCTTGGGGCGCACCTCACACTCTTCCAGAGCCCAGCCTGGCACAGCTGGGAAGTCAGCCCAGAGAGGCGAGGGGGGACCCCAATTTGACGCACTCCGGGCTGCTGACGGGGGTTGCTGAGGGGGGTTTCTGGAGCCAGGGCGGAGGGAGAGCTGGGGGGAGAGCCCCACCCCATGCTTGCACAAGAGTGACAGTTACAAGTCATTCCTCTGGATTCCTTTCGCGTCACCTCATCACCTCCTGGCCCTTCTGGGAAGAGCACGAAGCAGGAAGCAGGGTGGGGGAGTCCCAGTGCCTTTTTCCTTTAAGCAGCCCAGCTGCAACGCCATATTGCTCAAGAAGATAGCATAGCCCAGAGGCGGGCAGTGAAGTGCCCAGGGTCACACAGCAGGAGAGGACCCCAGGGGGGCGGGATAGGGGCACTCCCAGGACCCTCAGCTGCCAAACCTCCAGGCCCCTCTCCCTCCCAGGATGGCTGTCTCCCGCCCCGGCTTTTATGACTCTGCTTCTTCAGTGTATTACTGTCTTGCTTGCTAACAGTACTAATTGCCAGCTCACTGCCAGCTTTCAGTACGCCAGGCACAGAGCTAAGGGCTTCACACGGACTTCTTTCTTTCATTCGTTATCCCTGCAACAAATCTCGATTAAGCATGTACTGTGTCCCGGGGACCGTGGTAGGCTCTGGGGGATGAATGTGAACCCAATTGATGAGGTCCCTGCTCTCAGAGAGCTGACATTTTAGGAGCAAGAGACAATGATCCAGTCAACTAATACGTGAGCCTGTTAATCCCGGACGAGGTAACTGTTGCCAAAAATGAATCAGGCGGACTCGTAAACACAGAGAACACACTGAGGGTCGCTGGAGGGGGTGTAGTGGGGGGGGGACGGGCTAAGCAGGTGAGGGGCATAAAGGATGACACCTGTTGGGATGAGCACTGGGTGTTATACGTAGGGGATGAGTCCCTGGATTCTCCTTCTGAAATCAGCAGAGCACTGTATGCTAAGTTGGATATAAATTTAAAAATAAATAATTTTTTAACTTAAAAAATTTAAAAAAAAAATTGGAACCAGGCGGTTATGTAGAGGGTGGCGGGGTGCTCTGAAAAGGGGTCCATGAGGAATGGCTTGTGAACTGAGAGTGTCATGATGTCAATAAGCCACGGGAAGAGTATTTGGGGGGAGGAACAGCAAGCACAAGTGCCCAGGGGCAGGATGGAACAGAACAGAAAGTAGGTGCGCACGGAGGACCAGCCAACAAGGGAAAACTGTCTCGTGAAATTTTCCCCAACACTCTGGCAGCAAGGATTATTATCAGACCCATTTTGCAGAGAGGTGCAGACGCCTGCCCAGGGCCACACAGCAGCCGGCGACAGCGCCCACACTGTAACCACTTCCTCCTCTCTGCTAGGCCTTATTCTGGGCATGCAAAGGTTAAAGGCAAACAGACAAACAAAACCCGGCGTCTGGGAGCCCTGAGTCTAGCGGAGAACTGACCCCAGGGAGATCCCCAGGAGCCGCACGTGGGGACCCTGCGACTCGGTGCCAGAGACGGGTCTACGCCAGCTGCAGCACAGCCTTGCCGCGTGGCCTCACGCCCTCCCCCACGCTCCTCTCTCCCTCCAGCCGGGTCTCGGGGACACACAGAGCCTCCCCCTGCCCAGCTCCGCACGAGCCCTAAAGGGCCCCAGAGAGCCAGGCTGACTTGCGCAGCCTCGTGCTGCCCCCTGGCGGCGGCGGCCGCAATGATGGGGCCCAAGAGCACGGCCCCTCAGCTCCTTCATTCATTCGCCCTCGGAGGCCCCAGTGCGGGCGCTCAGCCTGGATCCCAGCCCTGCGTGAGGGGGCCCGCCGTCCTCACCCTTCCTGAGAAGGAGGCTGTCCCCACCCCGTCCGGAGATGTGCAACCTCAACTCCACACACAGCCTCTGTGTCTTGGGGTGGAATATCCAGGGAATCTGAAGCCAGATGGGGTGGGCTGGGTGGGTGGAGCGTCTTCATTCATTCACTCATTCATTCATTCGCACATTCAACCTGTACCAATTGAGCACCTCCTGCATGCCGGGCCCTGGGGGATGCAGCAGGCATCAAATCTCTGACACCGATACATACGGGGGGGGGGGGGGCAGGCTCCAGGGGACAGGCCCCCAACCCCAGCCCCGAGCAGAGAAGAGGTGATGGTGGGCTGTCACCAAGTGGGGGAAAAGGCACTGGGTACCTAGGCAGGAACGCCGAACGGGAGGCTTCAAGAATCTTCGGTGTGGACGCCCCAGGTACTGGTAAGCGAGCAAGAGAGAGGAGGTCAGAGGGAGAGCAGGGCAGGGAGGGGGAGGGGGGCCTCCACCGCAGACATGCTGTGCGTGAAGACATCACCGTTGTGGGACTTAAGGGGGGGCTTCTCAAGACCCCTTCCCACCCCCCACCCCATCCCCGCGATCGCGATCGGCTGAAAAACAGTTTTAATAACGTGCAAACCGGCCGTGTCCATGCGGCATGAAGTAGCGCCTGGCAACGCCGTGCACCCCCGCCTACGTGCCAGACTCCAGCCCGTCCAAGACGGCATTTCCCGTTTGCCACACTCACAGCTGGCATCCTGAGAGGTGCTGAGGGCCTCGGAGGAAGCTGATTTTGATCAGAAGGAAGATGTGCCGCCTGAGAGCACACACCCAATCTCCCTCCCGATTCCCTACCCGACCAGCTCGACGGCTGGCGTAACTGCGGCCGGCAGGTGGCGCTGTGGGGGCCCAGGGCCGGCTGCGGTGCGGTCTGCGCTCCTTAGATTTGCGTCTCTGTTAAGAAAGCGGATGCTAAGTGAGCACTTACTCTTCTCTCGATTCCTCCCTATGCTAGAAGGTCCCAGATCTTCCCCTGCGAGGCCCATCATCCTGTATATTTGTATCCCCATCACAGAAGGGTGACCTGCTCCGTTCTACCTGTCTGGCCGCGTGGCTGATTAAAGCTCTCCCACAGCGGCTGGGTTTAAATGCCCACAGTTCAAGCAAACTCCAACGGTCTATTTTTTGCCACGATTCCAAAGTCCTACACAAGGAAATATGATTGGGCTAAACCAGCTCAGGCTTCCACCTGATTCAATCAGCCTTGCTGGGAGAATAGCATATAGGGCTGCTGCAGCCCATTCCGGGGGTGGGCAGACTGCACAATTCAGGATAATTTCACCCATAAATACTACAGTGCCGGGTTACATCATTTAACTAAGCCTCTGTGTAGTTTTGCCACCAAATTGATATATACAAGTTAGACTCATTTGGATTTTTTTTAACGTTTATTTATTAATTTTGAGAGGGAGAGAGAGAAAATCTCCAGTGGCTTCATGCTGCCAGCACAGAGCCTGACTCAGGGCTCGAACTCACAAACCATGAGATCAAGACCTGAGCTGAAATCAAGAGTTGGGCACTTTACCGGCTGAGCCACCCAAGTGCCCCTAGGTTCGTTTGTTTTCCGTTTTTAGAGATTTTTCTTTTTTTCTTTTAATCTAATTACTTTTTGGTACACCCTCCCCAATTTTATTGTAAAAAAAAATGTTCAAAAGTATAGAAAGGCTGAAAAATTGTGCAGGGAACACCCTCATACTCATCATCTCCATCTTGCACTTGTATTTTGCAAAACTTTTCTCCTATTATCCACCTAATAACCCATCAATCCTTCTTCCCTTTTGATGAATTGAAAAGTGAGTTGCAGGGGAGCCTGGCTGGCTCAGTCAGAAGAGCATGCAGTTCATGGGGCGCCTGGGTGGCTCAGTGGGTTAAGCATCCGACTTCGGCTCAGGTCATGATCTCACTGTTCGTGGGTTCGAGCCTCGCGTCAGGCCCTGTGCTGACAGCTCAGAGCATGGAGCCTGCTTCGGATTCTGTGTCTCTCTCTCTCTCTCTCTCTCTCTGCCCTTCTCCCATTCACTCTCTCTGTCTCTCTCTCTCTCAACAATAAACACAAAATGAAAAAAGTAAAATAGAATAAAACGGTTGAGTTGGAGCTCTTCTGTCATCTGGACCCCTGTATGCCGGTGCTATCTTCCTGCCTCTGGCTGAGCCTTTGTTCTTCCCTCTGGTGGCTTTTGAAGAGCAGGTGCTTTGATGAAGCCGCCTTTCATGTCTTCCCTTTATGGCTCTTGATATACAGTCACATTTGTTTGTTTTCGTTGCTTTCCGTTTTTCGGTGTTGCTTTTTTCTTTTGCACGTGCTTTCTTTTACATTAGTGAAAATAATGATATGGTTCCAAAGTCAAACCTATAAAGGCTTATTTAGAGAGAAATTGTTTCCACCCCATCTCCTTCAACATCAACCTTTAGTTTCTAAAACATTGTTTTGGGGCACCTGGGTGGCTCAGTCGGTTAAGAGTCCGACTTCAGCTGAGGTCATGATCTCACGGTTCAGGAGTTCAAGCCCCGCATGGGGCTCTGTGCTGACAGCTCGGAGCCTGGAGCCTGGAGCTGCTTCGGATCCTGTGTCTCCCTCTCTCTCTGCCCCTCCACAACTTGTGCTCCCTCTCTCTCCCTCTCTGTCTCTCAAAAATAAACAGACATTAAAAAAAAGAATTTTAAAAATTGCTCCCTTATATCATCTTGGAAATTATATACATCCCTTACCATTTCTTTTTTTTTTTTTTAATGTTTATTTATTTTTGAGAGAGAGACAGAGTGCGAGCAGGGGAGGGGCAGAGAGAGAGGAAGACACCATTCGAAGCGGGCTCCAGGCTCTGAGCTGTCAGCACAGAGCCCGACGCGGGCCGGAACCCACGAACCGTGAGAGCATAACCTGAGCTAAAGTCTGACGTTCAACCAAGTGAGCCCCCCAGGCGCGCTCCAAGCCGCGATTCCGATTTCTAGGGCTCCCCAGGGCCCTGCCCTCGGGAACCCAGGGCTGGTTTCGGCTGGACCCGAAGAGGACAGGGGGAGAAGGGCTGCCTCCGAAGGGTCCCCACGGGTCCCCAGGTAGGGCCCAGAGAAGGCCCCCTCCCCCCGCAGGAGGGCAGACAGCCCACGCCCCTGGCCACTGTGAAGACACACGTCACAATGGCTGTTCCAGGCCCTGGAGGAGGCGCCAGGGAGGCGGGCACTCTGGCTGGAGGGCACCCAGGCCTCGCCATGGGGACTCCAGGCAAGCGCTCTGCGGCTCAGAGCTTGGAACCCGACGCTGCCCGGATACCGTTGCTGGAACAAAACATGTCCAGGGCACCAAGATGGAACCGCCCCCAGGGTGAGAGCCCCCTCCCCGCCGCCATCCCGGCGACCAGTTTTCTTTGGGGCCCATGAGAAGCAGGAGGAGACTGGGGGTCCCCTTGCCCAGCTGGATTCAGCCTCCACTGTCACGTCTTGCTGTCCCCCACCCCCCTGGGGACCGTGTGACCCAATGGAGACCAAGTGGGGCTCCCGACATCCTGTATCCCCTCTTAAAGTGTCAAAGGGAAGTCAAGGAAGAAGCCTAATGACTCCGGGATCAGGTACGAGCTGGCCCCACCCCAGCGGCCAGACACAACCCAGACTGGATGGGGGGGTCGGGGGGGGGGGTCCTGGGCCTGCTGATGAGGTCTTGACCGAGTCACCAATCTCTCTGGACCCATTTTCCGTCTGGAAAATGGCTGAGAGGACTAAGAGCGGTTGGTGTAGGGCCGACGGCTGCTAACTCGGCTGGGTCAGGAGTGTCCGGGGGGCAGTGCGCAGCCCCGGGCCACACGCTTCTTTTCTGGCCTTTGGTTTCCTCACCTTAAAATGGGTACAAAAATCAGCCTCCGGGGGCACCGGATGGTATGAAATCTTCTCCTGTCCCCAGGAGTCTAGACTGCAGGGCAGAGAATGGAGAGGGGCTTCCTCTTCCCTGGCTGCCCCCAGCGTGGGAAGAGGCGCGGGGCTGGGGGATCCCAGGCAGCCCCGATGATGCCGCGAGGCCCCGCACCTGGGAGGGGCAGCTCCCAGGCAAAGTGTCCCCACGGTGCCTCATAGAGACACACATGGACGCCCATCCGCTGACCACACAGTCATGATGATTACGAGGCCCTCCTCCGCCCCTCCCAGGCCACACGCTGGGTTTCCAGATCCCACAGTTCCCCGACCAGACAGCCTTGCCCCTGACTCCAGGGGGGGCGGCCGGGCGTGGGCCCGGTGTGACAGGCCCCCGCGGGGCAGGGGGGAACCGTGGTTGGGAGGAACGCGAGTGGGCTGCGGCCCCGGCCGTCCTTCTGGAAAGGAGCAGACGAAGGCCGCCTCCCTGGAGAGGCCCTGACCAGAGGCAGGGGGCCGGCACCGTGTGTGGTGTGTGCTGGGGCGGGCGGCACTCAGCTCCCACACCCGCTTGCTGGGCGACCTCCCGGAAGGTAGGTAACCTCTCTGAGCCTACTGTCCACTTCTGCAAAACTGGAGTAACACCGCTCGGCCACCCCCTGGCGTTTTCACCAGAACCACCGGAGCGAGCTATGTAAAACGTTGGGCCCGCCCGAGTTCGGCACGTTAACAAACGCTTGGTTTGTTTGTTTGTTTGTTTGTTTTTAAAGAGATCATGGGCCCCGTGCTCTTTTTATACCTCAACTTCCTGGCACTGCCTCCGGGAAGATCTTACATCCTAGGACAGGAGGACACAACCGGGGTCAGAAATGTCTGCGCTCGAATCTCAGCTGCTCCATCTACGCTCTACAACCCCTGGCATTCACTCCTCCAGGCCTTGGCTTTCCCTCCTGTAAAATGGGTGACACCCTCAGGTTGGCCACCGTGTCAGCTCAGCGCCTGGCACGCAGGAGCCTTTGGGTCTAAGGGTGTGTTTCCTTCCTCTCTCCCAAAGAGCCTCCTTTTCCTCCTCCTCCGCCTCCTCCTCCGCCTCCGAGAGCTCCTCCTACAATATACATGCCAGGCCCCCCGGCCATTCACCCGCGTGAGTACCTCTGTCCCTTCCCCTTTGGTTTTCCCAGGGACCATTCCTCAAACTCGGCCCCACAGCACGTCCTCTGGAAGTCCTTCTCCGCTGCCCCCCCCCCAGCTGTGCGACCCCAACGGCTGGCCGGTCCCTCCTCCCCTCCAGCACGACCTCAGTGGTGCGGGGGGTGGGGCCGGTCCACAGTGAGGGCTCAGGGGGGGGGGGGGGGGGGGGGGGGGGGGGGGGGGGGGGGGAAGGGGCTGGACTCCACAACCAGAGAAGGGGAAGGCAGCCTCCACCCAGGGTGGGGCCTGGGCTGGGGGGTTTTACACAAGCCTGTCAAGGAGCGGAGAATGCTTGAAAAGTCTCAAAGGGTCACAACGGCTGTGTGCACATTCCCGGAGGGCAGACTCGCCACAGTGCTTTCCTGGCTCCCTGCCAAACCAGGAACTCCGCACCCCGGGGGGCTCCGTCCGTCCGAAGCAAATCCCAGCACCCCTCTCCCCGCACCCCAGAGGGATCAGTGCCTGCGGGGCCCCTAAGCCCCTCCTCGCCGCTGCAGACCAGACCCCGAGCCTTCAGCCAGGACACTGAAGCTCCTGGGAACTGTTTTTCTTCACAACATACTCGGCCCCCCGCCCCCACCCCACGTCCACACACCCGTCACTGTAGACGTGGCCTCAGTGGTTAAACGCTGTACGAATGCCATCTGGTAGGTTCTCGCTTGTTCGGTCTTCAGCAGCCGTCAGAGCTTTGTTACCGAGAGCACCCCTAACGGGCTGGACGAACGCGCTATTCTGGGGGGCTTGCTGAACTGAAGGGGCCCAGCGCAAACCCAGAGAGGTTTCCAAATTCTCTGGGTCCTGACGGAGGAGGCCCCTGAGCCCTGCAGTCCAGCAGGAGGTGGCGGGAAGGGGGCGCGGAGGCCGAGCTGGGGGAGAGGCTGCGGGGGGGCCAGGAGGGGCCGGGGTCTGAGCTGCACCCCCCTCCCCGCCCCCAGCACTGCTCTCCAGAATGCCCAGAATGGGCTCTGCCGTCCCCGTACAGACCGTGTGTCCCTACTGCGGAAACCACATCATCACGGTGACCACCCCGGTCCCAGGGGTCCTCACCTGGCTGCTGTGCACCGGCCTCTTTATGTTTGGGTGAGTGGCCTCGCAGGGGCCCAGGGCGTCCGTGGGGCGGGGCCTGCTGGGGGGGTGCGCTGGCCCACACCCCGCTGCCCCCGAGGCTGCAGGTGCTTCCTGGGCTGCTGCTTCTTCCCCTTCTGCATGGAGAGCTTGATGGACGTGAAGCACTCGTGCCCCGTGTGCCGGCAGGAGCTCTTCCGCTACGACCTCCTGTGAACGCCCACCGAATAAACGTCCACTGCGGGACCCCCGCCTGCCCACGTGTCCTGCCGGGGCACCTCCTGGCACAGCGAGGGGCCGGGTCACCACTCAGCCCTCGGGGGTGGGGGCGGGCGCAGAGCAGGTGCTCCACCGGCACTGGGCAAATGAATGAATCCTGCAGAGTTGGGGGGGGTGGGGGTGAGGGTCCCCCCACCGCCAGCCTCTCAGGCTCCCTGCTGCTCTGACCCCTGCGGGACCCCAGCACAGGACCTCTCCTCTCCTGTCGCCTAGCCCGTTGCCCTCAGCTCAAACTTCAGCATCTCTAAACCATCTCTGCACCTCCAGCTGGGGGTGGGCCGGGGGGGGGGGACCCTTACTCCCCATTATCTGCAGCCTCACATACTCACGGGCATTTGGCAAATTAAAAGGCCCCAAGCTGGTGAGGAACAGGATGGCCCCTGGGTTACACGGGGTCTGCTGGAGAGGAAAGGGGGGCGAGGGGGGATTTTTCATTTTGCACAACAGGATGAATGTTATTCACCCATCTTTTCAATTAAAATGAATTTCCTACAAAAGAGGGGAAGAACACAGGACAATTATGAAACAGAAGAGAAAGGGAACCGGGCGCCCGGCTGGCCTGGTCAGAAGAGTGCTGATCTCAGGGCCGTGAGTTCGAGCCCCATGTTGGGTACAGAGATTACTTAAGTAAATACATAGGCACTAAATTTGCTGCGATGCTCACTGTCCCCAGGAGGGCAGTGTGTACCCCCCCCATCCTATAGATGTGGAAGCCCAGGCAGGGGGACCCCTCTGCTCCAGACAGTGGAGGCAGGAGGTGGGAAGGGGTGTGTGTGTAGAGCAGTTTACCAAGCAGTCGTCAGCAGGCAGAGAAGTTCTCGGAAGCCTCACAAGGTCAGGGGACAGTCCCTCTGCACATGGCCCGCTGGGACAGATTTCTCTGGACCTGAAGATGCTGGGGCAGCTGGCCCCCCGCCCGCACCCCAGAGGCCCTGGAGAACTGGGGAAAGCTACAGGGCAGGGGGCCTTCATTTCAACACCTCAAAGGACCCTCGTGGCAAGTGCGGAGGGTGAAAAGCTGAAGCGTCCGGGCGCCTGGGGACTCAGTCGGTCAGTGTCCAACTCCGGCTCAGGTCATGATCTCACAGTTTGTGGGTTCGAGCCCTGCATCAGCCTCTGTGCTGACAGCACGTCCTGGAGCTGCTTCGTATTCTGTGTCTCCCTCTCTCTCTGCCCCTCTCCTGCTTGTGCTCTGTTGCTCTCTCAAAAATAAATAAAAAATTAAAAAAAAAAAAGAAAAGCAGCTAAAGCCTCTGACCCACAATCTGACCCACGCTGGGCACCTGGTACCCAGAAGCCAGTCTCTTATCTGTAATATAGCAGGACAGGGCGGGGGCACCAGGGGAACCCGGGGGGACACAGAGGCCCTGGTACCCGGGGGCAGTCCTCAGCGGGACCGAGCCAGTCTCTGGTTCAGGGCAGCTCAGCCCCTGTGCGGGGCACCCAGGCCACGTGGGGGCCGTCACCAGCGTGCCTGGTCCACTGAGGAAGCCAAGACCAGCGTGAGCTGAACCAGGCGCATGTGCGGGAGCCGCCTCAAGGGCCCTGTCCCGGGTCCATGCTCACCAGGGCCCTCGCTGCTTCTGCCGGAGACACCCAGGTGGGTCCAGACGGGAGCGTCTGTCCTGGACAGGGACCTCTGGTGGCAAAGGCTCTGCCGGCGGTGTGTCCGGGTGCCGGTGTTCGGGCCCCTCCATCGGCCTGGCTCACCCCGCCCCCCACACCCCATACTGGTCTTTAAAGGTGTCCCCGGGACACCCTGGAGCTCCGGCGCCGGCCAGCTCCCAGCCATGGGCTCGCGGACCCCCAGTCCCTTCTGACTGGGACTGCCTGCCCAGGGAAGAAAAGGTCATTTGTGGACTTAAAAACTGGCAGACTCAACGAAAGTCCAGACTCTCCGACCTCTGTTAAAACCTAGGGTGGTCCTTCCACTACCACTGGGCTGAGCGCGTGCGGTCTGTGTGGCTGAGCCCCGCCTCTCCCTACCGGTGGCCCCAGGGCCCAGGGCCACTCACTGAACGGGAGCCCCCCACCCCCACTGTCCCGAGATCTCCCCGGAGGTCAGGCTGGGCCGGGGGGTCCGCGGCCCCACTCTCCCAGGGCACGGCTTTCCAGGAGGGCCACCTGGGCAGTGTGGCCAGAAGGGCCCAGGGCTCAGAGGGCACCCCGGCCTGGGACACCCCCGGAAAGCAGGGTGCTGAGGGAGCAGAGCAGGGAGTGTGGGTCAAGGGGCCAGCTCTCCCCTGGGGGAGCCCGGAACCCAGCCAGGGTGCGCAGTTCCCTGGTCACTCAGGGCGGCCCAGAGGCAGCAGGGGATGGTTGTTACAAGAGCGGCTGACGGTTCTCTCAGCTCCTTTTGCCCCCAAGCTCGGCCACAACCGGAGAGGGGACAGGGTGCCGCCCGCCTTACCCCAGGACCAGGCAGCAGGGTGTGGGGCTTCGTGAGCCTGCTGCTGCCAGCCTGGAGCGCTTGGGGTGCGGCGGGGGGCATGCTGCCATGGGAAGACGTGGGCACCCAGGCCGAGCCGAGCTGTGGGCGCAGGGGCGAGGAGGGCGAGGGGCGGTGGTCGTGTGGGGAGCCCAAAGGCCAGGGGCTGAAAGCGGCTGGGGCCGCAGATGCAGCCCTGAACGCATTTCTGCAGGTGGACTTGGCAAAGTGAAGGGACAGGCTCTTTAGTGCTGGCCGAGGGGACAGATGAGCACCTTGGGGGCTGGGGTGTGGCGTCTGGCCACATCTGAACGTACACCGACTCCGGCCAGATCATGGCGTCGGCACCCACGCACCCACGGGCCCGCTCCTGGGTCCAGCCGTCCGTCGGCGGGTGAGAGCAGCTCGCTCTGACCACTCTGAAACCCCCCGTGGGCCTGGCTTCACAGCCTCACTCAAGATAAAGGCGGGAAGGACAGGTCTGCACAGGCTCCCGTTGCCGGGGCACGAGGCAAGCGCTTCGTCCGTAACTTTGCTCCCATCCAGTAAACGCATCCAGTAAGAGGTCAGGAAAGCCTGCTAGTTAGTGTTTTCTAGGTTAAGTCAAGGCTCCGAGTGAGCCAATCACGGTAACGACCCCTGACGTGAGGAACGTTGGCTTGGGGCGGCTTCCTCCAACGTGGTAGATGTTGGCCACATGTGGCCAGCGCAGCAAAATGACAAATCCATTACGAACCCACTTCCTCAGCCACTGCGGCGCATCTCGGGTGCCCAGCAGCCACGTGTGGCTGCAGCACTGCTCTGGGCCGCGCAGACAGAACCTTCCACCGTGGCAGGAGGCGCTCCTGGACAGGACTGGGCCAGGACAGAAACGTCAAGGCGGAGGGAAAGGCTGAGCCCCACACGCAAGTCCGTGGGGCCCGTGGTCCCGATGTGCCGACGTCTGAAGTGCGTGTCCGCGGTTTCCGTGTGTTTTCAGGAACGGCCTGGCCCCGGGGCCGTGCTCACACAGCTTCTCCCCCCGCGGCTCCTTTCCCCTGAACCTCAGGGACCGGCGGCTTGTGCCTGGGGCGCGGCTGCATCCATCTGCTCAAGTGTGACGCATGGCTGCCTCCAGGCTCCAGCAGCGACACCGCGGGGCCCCAGAGCCGCGTCCCCAACTGACTCACGCGTCCCCTTGGCAAGCCCAGAGCCAACCACGACCGCGCGCCTCCCGACAAGCAGAGACACGCAGGGAAGGCCCAGACAAGAACCCACCACGTGGCCCTGGAGCTCGGGTCGGGGCCACCCACCCCAGGGACCCCGCTGCAGGGCGCCTCACCGCAGCCCTTTGTCGCGCACCCAAGATGCACCTCCCAGCGCTGTGCACACAGACGCCGCTTTTTACTGCTAGGGCGACACGCAGCACACGCGGCAGGAGACACCCACCGCCTCCTGCTGGAGGACGGCGACGGGTCCCCAGCGGGAAGGTGAGGCCTGCCCACCAGGAACGGCAGTTCAGAAAACGGCACGCCCCGTACGCTGGTGCGCTCCGATTTCTCTCTGCACACGACTCCCGGGGACGGGTCACGTGGGATGGTCCTGCGCCTCAGTCACGTTACATTACAGCTCCCAAGGGACTCCTCCTTCTGGGGACTCACGGCGTCAGTAGACGGGGACGTCCTCGGGGCTTAGAGTGAGCGGTCTGAAAGGCTGGGTCCCACCCGTGCCCCACAACCAGTGTTCTGCGCGCAGTCGCCGGGCCCTACAGTGGGGAGGGAGGGGACAGGGAAAGGCGCGGCGGGTCCATGTCCTCAGTCTTCCCCACGGTCACTTTGTAACTTAAGGGACAACCCTGTTCAAGCTACCCGACTAGAGCCAACCCACGGCCACACCTAAAACAGACCAATCCTCAGGCTCACGGCACACACACAGTCAAAGTCCTCGCGGGCCTGCCCGGACCCTCTCTCTCAGGGCAGGAGGGGGCAAGTCCCGGGGTGGGGGGTGAACACACGCACGGGGCCGGGGAAGCCTGCACACAAAGCCATTCCGAGGCAGAGACCAGCCCAGGCAGTCCGGGAGCGCGAGCGTGCGCTGGATGGGACATGCCCGCAGGGCCACCCACAGGCTCCGCCGCATCACGGTCCTCAGACTCGGGCCCGGTTTCCTCCCGGGAAACCTTCCGCTGCCGGAGCTTAACCGTGACCAGGAAGAGGCGAAACCCAACCCCGGACAGCAGGACGGTGCGGGAGCAATCCCAGAGCAGCAGTCCCACGCAGACCCCCAGGGGGAGCCCAAGCCGCCCTCGACCTCCTCGCCACTCACCGACTTCGAGTTTTTATAGAAAATTTTATTCAACATACAACATTTTCCAGCAAAAAGGCAATATACAGGAAGAGTGGGTGTACACTGCTGCTACAGAAACAAACGAAAACCCTGGAAAAGGATGAAAAATAAGAGTGATTTGCTGATTCTATTTTACCGCACTCAAAACTAGACACGCAGCCGGCATTAGCTCAAAAAAAAAGAAAAAGAAAAAGAAAAAAAGAAAGAAAAGAAAGAAAAAAAAAAAAAAAGAGGAAACAAGGCTGGGACTGAAATAAAACTACACACAATGAATATCAACATCAGGGAGTCACTCAGATGCACCCAACCGAAAGTCACCTCCTCCCGTGGCGAATTATACATGTTCACTCATTAAATATACAATTTCATTTTTTTCTTTTTTTTTTTTTCTATACAAAGTCAACAGCGTACTGACCGCTAGTGAGCATGCCCTCTTTGTAAAAGGCTCTCTCCTTTCCTTGTTCCGTCGGTTCCGTTCCGAGGCGATCCTACGGAGAATGCTTCACCTGCTCGTACGGACCGGGGAGCCCGAGGGGTGGGCCTGCGGACAGGCGGCGCACGCCGCACCCGCACTGTGCTGAGCAGCGGGCCGCCCGCCGGGACTGAGCTCAGGCTCGGGGCGTCCAGGCTGTGCGGGCTGCAGGACGGTAGTGGCCGACGGACCCAGGCAGCGGGGGGTGGGGGTGGGGGGGGCCGAGGAAGGGGGACAGCACACGCAGTGAAGGAAAGAGCACTATTTATTAGGTTGTGAGTTTCTCGGTTTTGCCTTTACAGATGCACAAAAGGTCATGGAAAGTAGAACTGAAGGAAACGGCAGACGAGCCTGAACGTGAGACCAGCTGGAGGCTGCTGCCGCGACCCCGGGCCTCCGCCCGCCAGACACGGCCCTCGCCTCTGCTCCCCCGCTACGCTGGCGGTTGCCTTGCGCTGTGGTTACCATAAAATAACTCTCATTGGCATCCAAGCTTTATAAAAACACCTTCATTTTGCTCAAAAAGGGCAGTCAATAGATACAGAGAAGCCAAACGGAACAGCCTCAACAAAATAAAATTAACATCAGCAGCGAATCCTCTTGCTGAAGACTTCGGATGGTGCGCGTGTACCAAAGTTCTAGGCTGTTAAAAAGGGGCACACACCCACGCACGGCCCCTCGCCCCGCACGCACCGGGTGAGGAGGTCAGTTATGGATTTTAATGGCCTTTTCCAGGTAGGTGTAGCGACTCCTCTTTGGGGCTTTGTTGAAGTGGTCAAGCCCTAGCCAAGGCCGAGGGTGAGACATGTTACCTGGTGGAGAGAGAGACACGCGGCTGAGGCCGGACAGCAGGGAAGCCCTG